GTGACTTGATCTGCAGGAAAGATGGCAAATAGGGGGAGGAACGACCCAGTGCCCCGAGCCCCATCCGACCACTGGCCCCAGTCCCAGCTTCAGGCCCTGAGCTGGTGCCCCGAGCCGGTACCTTGAGGTGGTAGATGTTCTCCTCTGTGTCCAGGTCTACCCGCTGCGCCTTCTTGTTGACGGACATGACGGACTGACGGACGTCGATGGAGCCGTGCAGTTTGCCCTTGAGGACCTGGGGGAGCCCAGAGAGCCTGTCTGACAGGGCAGGGGGACGGGAAGAACATCCTCACAGGGGAGAAGGGGTCTTCCCCACCCTGAGCCCCACAGGGAGGCTGGACGGATACCCCGGTCCCATACTCACGTCCTGGCGCGTGGTGGCATACTTCAGGATGCCCTTTTCCAGCACAAAGTACCTCTGGGGACAGCAAGGACAGATCATTAGAGGGAGATAGAAATTGGTGCCCGCATCCCCCCACCCAGGCACCCGCATCACCCCAAGGCTGGCCACGGCACCCACAGACAACCCAGCAGCACAGGGAGGGCGCCCCGTGCCAGGAGCTTCGGCTGGTTGCCTCCTGGCCATCCCCGGACGCCCACCAGCCCTGTTACCTTGTGCCAGCCCTTCAGAGGCCATTTCCTCTTCTTGAGCAGGTATCCCTCGTGCCCCTCCGGCTCCTGGCCCGGGCTGCCCCGGGCATGCGGGTCGTCCACCACCTCCCAGGTCTCCGAGCCCTGCTGGAAGGGGTGTCAGCACAGGGCCCTGGGGTGCCCCTTGGCCCTGGGGGGAGTGCGCTACCAGAGGGGCCCTCCACCCTTATTAAGGTGGGGTGAAGCCCCATGGAGCCCCACAGCACCCCATGGCACCCTGGACGCCGGAGACACTGTGGGCAAGGCGCAGAGACCATCCCGGAGCACCAGGATGCTGCCGTGCCCCCCCAACCCAGAGCCCCCTGACCTGGTGCACGCTGCTGTGCTTGGAAGACACGGTGCTGTTGGAGCGCGACGGGGCCCTTTTTGGAGAAGCCGGGTCCTTCTCGTGGCTGCCCATGGCTGGTGAATGGAGGGGGCTGGGGGGGTCCGGCCAAGCCCCTGCTCCTGTCGGCGCTGCAAGGCCGG